GAAAGACCAAATCACCCTTGGACATGAAATGTTTTTGAAAGCTTTCAAACTGATTTTGTTTTAATTGTTAATGATATCATGTGTAACAATGAGGTGATCAATCACTGCCATTCTTCACTGTTACACTGTCAAGCTCTTTGAATAGAAAAATCTGGCAGTGGCCAGTGACCAGTGACTCAGTGAGCTTCAAGATTGTAGAATAGAGACACAAAGGAAGTGAAATGCACAATTAGGAACTTCATTTCATTCACTTGCCAAGTTTACAAATGTAAGGAGTACATATGACGATGAAAACATTAATACTGCTGTATGCATCAGAGTTGAGCAAATTCAGAGTTTGTGAGTAGGTTTAGAGTTGACACAACCAAATATATCCAACCCGGTTTAGATCAGGTTCAGCAGGTTCACAACACTCGCTGTAAACATTCTCTGCCAATTCAGAGTTTGATCCAGAGTTTATTAATTGAGTACATGCATCTGAAAGTGTGACAACTATAGCAAACACCCAATCACATAAGACATGGAGAGAGTCAGTTTTGATTCACTTCTTGCAAGACATATTATTATTATAGTTGCTTATTAGCATGCAAATTACTGGCATAATGTCTGCATGTTTATTAGTACTTATAAAGCACAAATTATTCTTATTATGCTCAAATTATAGTCTTATTCTGCATGCGCATGTTTTAGATACCTTAACCCATAACTAAACTAACAACTACCTTGCTAACTATTAATAAGCAGCAAATAAGGAGTTTATTGAGGCAAAGGTTGTAGTTAATAGTTAGTTAATAGTGAGAACTGGTCCCCAAACTAAAGTGTGACCCTTTAAATGCACTGAGAAAAAAGGAAAAATTAGCTTTTTATACCTGATCTGACATTTGAAAATTACGTTCGCTAATGTAACCCAGCATAGTCAGGTTGAATATGTAAAACAATGCTGAATCAGGCAGTCATTGTTGCAAAATTAACCCTGATCAACAGCATGAAGCGGAGGTACTTTATCCTGCACATTATATGGCATTGTATGACCAAATTAATGGATATGAAATTTTGCTTTGAGTTGAAATTGTTGTATGAGAGACATGCAACTATAAAAGATATACTGTCTGCGTTGAACAAAAATACAAAAATGCTTGACTGCATAATGCAATGATCACATACCAGAATCACATATTCAAGAGTGCCGTAATGATTGTCCTCACCAAACATTTTTAGTGTGTAAATGGCAATGTGAAGTGTACTCTTATGTCTAACCGTATTATAGTTTGTATTTTGTCAGTCATGACTACCCACTGGCTTCTGAGTCACCCTCTGCATCCCACAATGCACCAGGGTGCTGCTCTGAGATTGTGTGTGCTGACTCTCAAATTGTTCATCTTCCTGTGCTTTTGTCCAAGTCCTCTCTCTCTTTAATGCCAGGACACGATTATCAGTAGTGACAGCTCAGCTGTGTCTGCCCAAACCGAGCCTCCCACCTGAGTGAGGCGGCAAAGACCCTGCTGCTTCACGATCACACAGGACTAGGCTTCACTGTAGTCCATGACAAGTCCAGTGCACCCTTTCATTTAGAAGTCACAGCCTGTTCATTTTAAAGGAGATATAACCAGGCCTGCATGAAATCTGTGCATGCAGCACTCCAAAAAAAGATTAATATATTTCAACAAAACACATAGCCTATCTCTTTCCAGTTTGTTTTTCGTCATTTGTGTTGCTTGTTAAGACAAACTTCACTGATATTATCATACTTAGAGTTAAGCAATTAAACTTACAAGTTTTGGCCAGCAGGCAAAATAAAATAAATAAATAAATAAATAAATAACGGTGGGAAAAAAGTACTTACTATGTTATTATGAAAAGTTCAGTCTATAGGAATATGTAAGAACTACTTCAAGGGTTTCAGTCCAGTTCAGTTCTATGTGAATATATATTCAAATGTCATTTATTCCTGTGATGCAAAGCTGAATTTTAAGTATAATTATCCCAGTCTTCAGTGTCACCTGAACATACATTGTTTGTTTGTTTGTTAGTTTTTTTCTCATTGCAAACCACCTTCCCTATTGAAATCAAATGATATGCAGATATCTCTAACACTACCATTCAGTGTAAACTTCACATACTGGCTCCACCAGGAATTTTCAATTTGTCACCTGAATTGAACAGCCTGAAATCCACCAACCGAAAAATACAAACCTGTTTCACAAATTGCACAACCACATTAATAGAAGTTGAACTCCTATTTCATATTTTCAAATATTTAATATCCACTGTGAAAAATTTAACTATCATTATCATATTACAGCAAGACCAGGAGAGTTTGGTAGCTTGGTAGCATGTTTGGTGGATCTATTCCAACACCACAATGTAATTAAACTAACATTGAAGGAAGGGCTTAAGACTCTGAGGTGACTTTTGGCAGCTTATACAGCAGAAACCACCCATCAATGGCTCAGCAATGAATAGGTGTGCTCAGAAATCCACTGTGAACACCTTAGATTAGATTGATTATGTATTTAATACATTTAATCAGATTTAAAGTCTTTTGCAGGGGTTTGGGCCTAATTTTATTGTGCTCTGTTCTTTATCTATGCATTTAGCATCAGAACCTGACCATGATTTTGTGATGTCACATGCAAAAGAGACAATGATGTTGTTATGGATAAGTTTGTATATCCCTCTTTTCTTCCATGGCTTTGTTAACACCTGAAGACGAAGACATTGCTGTTGTTCTTTGTCATTTTTAACAGGAGGAGCTGGGTCTGATGTCGGCTGCTGAGTTTCTCTGAGTGTCTGGTGAATGAGGACAAGCGCTGAGGAGCGTGGGATGTGTCGGGAGGGCATGGCACGGGAATATGTATAATCATGCAGATGAAAGAGATTGAGCTGCAGTCATTGAGCCACATTTATCTTGTGGGTGGAAGTGCTGCTTCGGCTTAAATTTGGATTTTAAGAATGCAGTGAAAAATAGAGCCATAGAAAAAAAAGGCCATGTGCGCTTAAATCACATTTGCTCTGTGAATACAGACCTGCTTTTGGAAACCTTTACATTTTTACGTTGCAAAAGCTTGTTGCTTTAAGGAGTATAGTTTAATGTAGGTCATATAGTGAAAAGTACTACAGATAGTTTAAGCATGTATATGAAGTAAAAAATGTATGTAAATGCCTCAATAAATAAGATATACAACTGATACAACACACTGACATTTTTGTCCAATATTACAACTGTTTACATTTTAATTATGTCAGACAGACAGACAGAAAGATAGATGGATGGACGGACGGATGGATGGACAGATTGTTACATTGACTGAAGGAAAGATGGATGGATGGAAGGAAGGACAGATTAATACATTGATTGAAAGAAAGAATGATGGATGGATGGATGGACAGATTGATAGATTGAAGAAAAGATGTATGGATGGATGGACAGATTGATACATTGATTGAAGGGAAGAAGGATGGATGGATGGACAGATTGATAGATTGTTTGAAGGAAATATGGATGGATGGATGGATGGGCAGATTGATACATTGATTGAAGGGAAGAAGGATGGATGGATGGATGGAAGGATGGACGGATAGACAGATTGATACATTGATTGAAGGGAGGATGGATGGATGGATGGATGGAAGGAAGGTTGAACGGATTGATAGATTGTTTGAAGGATAGATAGATAGATAGATAGATAGATAGATAGACAGACAGACGGACGGACGGACGGATGGATGGACAGATTGTTACATTGACTGAAGGAAAGATGGATGGATGGAAGGAAGGACAGATTAATACATTGATTGAAGGAAAGAAGGATGGATGGATGGATGGACAGATTGATAGATTGTTTGAAGAAAATATGTATGGATGGATAGATGGATGGATGGGTGGACAGACTGATACATTTATTGAAGGGAAGAAGGATGGATGGATGGACAGATTGATAGATTGTTTGAATGAAGGATGGATGGATGGATGGATGGATGGACAGATTGATACATTGATTGAAGGGAAGAAGGATGGATGGAAGGATGGACGGATGGACAGATTGATACATTGATTGAAGGGAAGAAGGATGGATGGAAGGATGGACGGATGGACAGATTGATACATTGATTGAAGGGAAGAAGGATGGATGGATGGAAGGATGGACAGATAGACAGATTGATACATTGATTGAAGGGAGGATGGATGGATGGATGGACAGATGGACAGATTAATAGACTGATTTAAGGAAAGAAGGATGGATGGATGGAAGGAAGGATGGACAGATTGATAGATTGTTTGAAGGATAGATAGATAGATAGATAGATAGATAGATAGATAGATATGATACTTTGGACCAACCTAAAAAAATTACTGTAATTTGTTACAGCTAAATTTATTAGTTTTTCTCAAACTATATTTTTGATTTGGTTGAAACTTTAAATTTTAATTTAATATCAATCAAAATAGTTATTCTACCCAAGATAAAAAATTACATTGAAACAAAGTTAAAATATTGCTTTTTATGAAGACCAAATAATTATTTTTTACTTTGGTACAACTTAAAAGATAGATAGATAGATAAATAGATAGATATGGATGGGTGGACGGACTCTAGATTGTTTGCATTTATAATGCATTATGATTATTTGTAATGCTACTGTACAATGTTATGAACAGAGTTACCGAATTTATCAACTCCACCTTAATACATACATATTATATGACATTATATAGCACATTTTATAGCATGCAGGGTTAATAGAAAGTGTGTTCTGCAAATTGCAGTGTAATATTAGCCCAACACAATCAATATTATACGACTGACACAATGCGCACATAGCTGTCATTTTTTAACATTATTCGTCTGACTTACACCTTCATTAGTCTGGACAAGTCTCGTGTCATGAGCAGTCATTGATGTCTATCGGAGAGCTGTAATCGTTTACTCCTCCTCCTCCACATGATGTCGGCTGTGTGGGTGTCTGACAGCTCCGTGAGCCTCAAACCGGAGCGCTTCAACACTCGCCGCAACGCGCGCCCAGCCGCTTTCCGCTCAAATGTGCTTTTCTTCCTGCGTACCTACGTTCCGCGCTCCTCATGTCCTCCGTAACTCTCTCAGGATCGTTTCGGTGCTGATGTGAGTCCAGTACATTCATTCGTTTGACACATTTCTTCAGTCGATGAGTATGCGTTCACATTGGAGTTACATCGCCTGGATTTGCGTCTTCAGTCTCGGCGCGTTCAGGACTTTCTGCATTCCCAGTAATGAAGGTAAGACGCGGGATCTGGGAACGGTGCTATTTGCAGGGATTGATGGTTGACTGTCACTGGATTCCGTAATGAGAAAATACAGTTCTGGAAATAAAGGTTCAGCAAAGAACGCTCTTCTAATCAAGAACCATTTTCGGCTCCATTCGGTTCTTGGGTTGCTATATGGTTGTTTGGAGACTAAAACAAAAGTTCTTGATGATAAATTAAAGGTTCCCCCGATCCGTGCGTTGGTTTCTGAATTCACTACATTATCACGATAGAGTGCTTTTTTTTTAAAGTTGTGTAGAACTTAAAAAGGTTCTCCAATGGCATTAGACTGTGAAACCCTTTGATTTTAAATGGAACCATTATGTCAGAAGCATATGTGAAGCATTATTTTTAAGGTTGACACAATTTACCACATATATTACAATGAATGCATAAACAGTGTACACACAATATACACATGGAGAAGTATCAATGGATCAGAAACCTGTCAGATCTTCTCCAGAACATGTTATATAGGTCTTTTAGGACATTTTGTGGTATATGTCCATACGGTTCTCCAACACAAATGTTCTCTACACGGCGTGAAATGTCATGTCAAAAGTGAAGCATCATGTAATATATCTTCCATTAAGCCAACAGTGATTTCACAGCAGACCGTTTAATGGAGCAGAAGTTCCTGAACATCAGTGATTACAGTTCAACCAAAATCCCAGCCAGCTGGCTTTTAAACACCTCAATTCACTATTGTACATTGACTGAAAACGTGAATTCATAAAGTGTATTGTGAATTGCTTCATTGCCTTTGAACACGTTCAATGGGTCCTTTTAAAGATTTTATGAATCGTATTGTTCACTAAGAACATCCATTCACAGACAGTTCAGAAATCACAGCTCAGATCAGAATGAAAGCACTATTCAACCGCCAAGCTTTACAAGAGTTATTAATGTTGATTCAATGGTCTATTTAAAAACCTTTTGTAGCATTTTCTTTCAAGATACAGATATTAAACGGTAGATTATTGCAGGACAAAAATGAATGCCTATGATACAGTTTCTACAGACAAAGATATAGATGATGCACTTCAAATGGATATTTTATTTTCAAAGGTTAAGTTCACTAACTAAAATGTATCTGTTGCATTGGACCCCAATAGCACTTTTGGTAAAAATATGACATCTCTTTTTTTGTGAGAGCTGATGTGTAAACGTGGGATGGTGCATTTGCATTAGAGGCGTAAAGACAAAGGAAACACAGACACGTCTTCATCAAAGTTCCCTAAATTTGCTTTGTAGTGGTCAGAGAACAGCAGACACTGACTACAAATCATATTCCATATTTTACAGCTTTATTTCCCAGGATACAAAACTGCATTCCTAAGAAACCCTTTCAAGTTACAGGATGTTTTAACTAGCGTACATAAAAATGATTTCACCCGGTGTTACCTTGGGAAATGTCAACAAATTATCTGCAAGTGAAATTGATGTGTTGCAATTTATCATTTGGGCTGAAGTGTGCAGACTATAGAATATGTAAATATTCTAATGAGCAGAAGTCAGCATATGGATAGTGCAATGACAAGTGTGGGGATGAGTTGATTGATTGTACGCTGATGATGGCACAATAAAAATGAGAGCGGGATGGGGGAGGGCGCTCGGGTGCCTACACAGACTGGCACAATGGCCCAGCAGACGCGCAAGGACGACGGCCACTCGAAAATCACAATAGCGGCAAGTCTGGTAGAATTCGAACAAACCTGTCGATTCGGAGAGCTGCGACCTGTGGTGAACTGTGATCTGTAGGGAAATGCGCTTTCAAATTAACATTAACAATTTTTGCTACGTTTGGACAGTTCAACCTTGAAGCAAAAAGCCAATCAAATCAGAAGATTCACTTTGCCATATACTAATCTTCCAAACACTAATGAATATTTTTTAAAAATATTTATTCGATGTTTTTATTTTTGCAGTTTTAAAATGTATTTACGTCCCTCTTGAAGTTAGATTTCCGCATATTGCTCCTCTTTCGACATTTGTATTTGCCTAAGGATGGACACAACCTCTATTTAATCTAGTTCAGAACTGTACTTCTTTGTGCTAATTAGATTTATGTGATTCTCCCCAGGATATTTTTTTCAGTTTAAGTAGGACAATGTACATCAATGTCTGTCATTCAAAAGAAATACATTTATACTTCATTTAGAGACATTTCAATAGGCCACAAGCAGATTAAATGTATTTGTTTTTCTTCTCTGCATATGTGTTCTGTTCTCACAAATCAGTATCAAATTTGAGGTTACATAACAGTTAAGATCAATAACCAGCGTTCGCATCCAGCTGTTGGCCTTATTTATTAGGTCCAACAGCCCTAAATTTATTAAAAGATAATTTTTAATTTCAGAAGTTCTAATGAACTAATCTTTACCCTTTTACATCTTCTTTTTGTTAGCACTATTGTGACATTTGTGTGGGTTTCTTAGTCACTAGCTTGTTGTTTTATTCCCAAAATGGAATTGTTATTATGAGTCATCTCACACATGCTAAACAGTCTCACCACACAACCTTTGATCAACACAAGGTCAAATTAAAATTCAGCCCTGATCGGACTGTGAATGTAAAGGTCATCTAATTAGCTGTGGCGGTACTCGTTCGTAAAAGGTTCCAGCAGATAAAAAAAGAACCTGTGACCTACTCTGGGTATCAAAAACTGGCACAAAAAAGACTGGATTGTTTAATAGACATCTCACATAGAATGTGCACTCAATTTAACCAAGGGCAAAGATTGCACAACAGATATTATTCCATGTTCTCTCTTTCTAAAGGGTACGTTTTCAAATGATTACACTCATTGTTCAGAAACATTTAGATCAATATCAAAATAAGACAATGTGATCTCATTTGTGTTTGCAGGTATTCAGATGTGAATTGTCTGGATGCGTAATATTTTCCGTGTGCAATTGATTTTCAGGGTCCCCCCCCCCCCAAATGTATAAATGATAAAAACAATTTTTAAGGAATAAAAAAATAATATAATTTTTTTAAATTACATTATTGACAAGTCCTCATTAATGTTGGACCTGTTACAATATCAATAAATTGACAGCATCTAAAACATTTTACAGACATGCACCTTTCCATGAAGGGTCATAGATATGTAAGTCATATAGACTTTTTATTCTACTTTGAATAAATTGGATTAAATATGTTTAATGGCGTGACATTTAAAATCGATTTCCATTATTTATATACATGTGCATGTGTGTACTTTACTTATGAATGCCTCTGAAAACAAAGACTCAATATGAACTATATTGTTATTAAAAGGAAAAAGAGACAAAAACTAAATGTATACATATGAACACCTGCAGAACCTAATGCAATCACCCTGAACTATAGATACTATGTGATAAAGGACAATTCATGTGATAATAATTACAATTTAAGTAAATGTTTTTTAAAATGTTGAAGAATGTGTGTGTACAATGTATGTATAGAAATTGATCTGCACTTTATTTTAAGATGCCATTGTTACAGTGTAATTACAGTGTAAGTACTGAGTAATATAGTTAACAGCATGTACTTACTATATAGTTAGGGTTTGGTTTAACAATAGTTGTTTGTAATTATGCAACATTTACTGTTCTTACTACAGTAAACACATGTATTGTGTAACAAGGACCTTGCAAAATTAAGTGTGACCGAAAACTACAGTACAGAAACGAATTAGATCAATTCTGAGCGAGTCGATATTGTGATTGCGCTCTGCATATAAATGCTCTTTCTATATTGCTTTTACAACTCCAGATTATTGATTTGTCTGTGTTTCTCGTTTTCCCGCAGTGAACTTGCTGGACTCTCGCTCTGTAATTGGTGACCTGGGGTGGGTCGCCTATCCGAAGAATGGGGTGAGTTCCACACATCTTCCTGTCTCTCAGCACTTTGAGTTAAGAGCCGGCTTCAGGAGAACATCTCAAGGTCTCCGATTCCCTCAACGGCAGGAAAGACAGTTTCAAAGTGAAAAATAATAGAACGTGGAGAGCGCAGCACAGAGAGAGAGGGACTACAAGAGGTCAGAGACAAACAGAGAAGAAGGGAAAGCCCTTCTTTGTTCTAAATGAGGCACAAAGACACTAAACCTGCTGTTCTCATTTCTTTGTGACACTCAGAATGTAATTCATTTCTGTCGAGTTAGCTGATTGGTAAACCTGCTGAACAATGCGTTTCATTTTAATGACAAACCGCCAAGTTTATATACAGTATGTATTTGTTTTTCTGTTTCCTATTTCCACTTAGAATACCAAAGTGAAGAAAGCTGAAGCTACATGAAATGGTTTGTCAGCAGAAAAGGAACATGTGTTGAGTGTCTTGGTTGTTTTTGACAGGCTGACAGGAATAAGCAGCTACAAACTTGAACACAACATGAAAATAAATATCCCAGTATTGCTTCAGGTCTGTCAGTATCATGGTGTTTTCATACTTTTGTGCTGGTACCCTGGCTCGTTTAAATGGAAGCCCGTTTCTGCCACTGAATAATAATAATTCAAATAATTAAATAAATAAAATAATTAAATAATAATTAAAATAATGCACACCCCGGGTGAAAATGCTTTATATCTCGCAATTGTGACTTTTTTTCCCCTCAGTACTGTGAGATATAAACTCGCAATTGCTAGATATAAAGTCATAACTGTGGGAAATAAAGTTGCAATCTCATGTTATAAAGTCAGAATTGCAAGATATAAACTCCAAAAAAATAGACTGATTATTTTCTTACAATTTCGAGTTTATACCTCAAAATTCTGACTTTATAACGCGCAATTGCGTGTTATAAAGCTAAAATTGTGAGATATAAACTCACAATTCTGAGAAAAAAAGGCACAATTGTGACTTTATTTCTCAGTATTGTGAGTTGAAATCTCACAATTCAGACATTTTCTCGCAATTACAAGTTGGTGTCGCAATTCTGACTTTTTTCTCTCAATTGTGTGTTTCTGTCACATAATTATGACTTTGGAACTCGCAATTGTGAGTTTATATCATGCAATTGCAAGGAAAAAAAGTAAGTTGTGGGAATTTTGACATAAAAAGCGGAGAACTCTGCTCATATTTTGTATAATGATGCATTCGCAAGGTAATGTAAAAGAGTAAAGTAAAAGATCCACACTTCACAAATCTACCTGAAATAGTCGACCATCCAGGGACTTTTGGCATACACTTTTCAGCATACTATGCTTTGGGACACACATATTCTAATCTCACATACTATTTAGGATGGACAGTATGAACGTTGGTAAGCAAGGGCTGTCTTTATGAATGGATCATTGAATCACTGATTCAAATGATTCGTTCAAAGACAGATTAATTCAGGAACAAACCACTGCAGTGTGGCTCTGAGATGCGCAAATGATCTGCTCCAGCTTTGTTTGGAACTATTTTCATTGGCGAAACAGAAAAAAAACAAACAAAAAAAAAACAATATCGTGTCTAAAATGTAACTCAATCAACATTAATTTCTTGTTTGTTGAACTGTTGTATAAAATTACTGTCACATTTGCGATTGTGACTATGCTCATGCACTGATATTCAGGAAAACGGCACTGTTTCTTGTGTGATATTACTTAAAAAAAAACTAAAAACATAAAGGGATATTTTTGGCTTTCATAATTTGAATTATAGGGGCATTTTAACTGCATTCTAATAGGCTTCATCACGCAGTCAATGCTTTTGGATTCTCAAGACCTTTTTTTTTTTTTTTTTTTTTTTTTTGAGTGGGGGCACTA